AACCCTGGAGCTCAGCCAATGAGGAACCCCACCAGCCCAGGGGAAGGAAAAAGCTGTTGCCGCCCTGGAACTGCTACTTTCCCCCAATGGGCTTCCCTTTAGAACTGCCCCTCCCCACTTTCCCTATAAAAGCAGCTCCCCCCTGCTTGGTTTTCTGGATTTGCCTGTGGTTGGCCACAGCATTCACGTCCTCAATTGCAATTCTTTGGGCTATTCCTGAATAAACTCATTTTGAAGGCAAAATAACAGGTGAATTTCCTTTTTAAGTTGACAGCTATAACTATAAAATACATGCCAGATTTCAAAGACTTTGCACAAGAATTTTTAAAAATTAAATTAAATTTTTATATTGATTTAATGTTGAATTTTTGGATATACTGGGTTAAATAAGAGAGGGGGGGGGGGGGGGGGGGAGTTGCCAAAATATTCAACAGACAAGATAGCGTTCCCACTGAACTTGAAAAGCTGGGAGGAGTTTGGCCTTCAGAGCGGAGCAGGGTTGCCGGGAGGGGAGGAAAAGTCCCGTTACGCTCAAAGTTCTCAAAGCTGGCAAGAAAACACATGATAAAGGAGCCCTTGTTCCAAGTTCTGGTCTCAGGACCTCTTTGCATTCTCAAAACCTGGCGAGGACCCCAAAGAGCTTCTGTGTATGTGGGTTGTATCAATTCGATTTATATATATTTTAGCAAATGATTTATTTTGGAATAATTTTAGGATTTGCAGAAGAGTTGCAAGGACAGCCCAGAGAGTCCCCCCACATGTATGTCTGCTCTTCACCCAGCTTGCCCCCACCTTAACATCTCACCTTACCTTGATCCCTTTATTAAACCAAGAAATTAACATCCAGACAATACTATTAAGTGATCTGCAGATTTTGTTCGATTTCACAAGCTTTCCCACAAATGTCTTGTTTTATTTGATTCCAGGATCCAATCCAGAATCGCATTGCATTTAGCATCTGTTGATAATAATTCTGTTTTTGCCATCCAGTCAATTCCGATTCCTAGTGGCCCCGTGGAGAGTAGAGCGGAACCCTGCCTGGTCCGTGCACTATCCTCTCCCCTGCCGGCACTCTATCAGACATGCTCCGCTGCTACTCAGAGGCTTTTCATGGCTCATTCTTCAGAAGTGGGTGACTAGGTCCTTCTTCCTAGTCTGTCTGTCTGGAAGCGCTGTGAAACCTGTCCACCATGGGGGACCCTGCTGGTATTTGAAATCCCAGTGGCACAGCTTTCAGCATCACAGCAACACACGGCTGCCACAGTATGACACCCAACAGACGGGTGGTGTGGGTCCCTGACTGGGAAACGGACCGGGGCGCCAGTGGTGAGAGCGCTGAATCTGAACCCCTAGACCCCCAGGGCTGGCTTGACCATAACCATATTTAAAATAAAAAATGAGGAAATCCAAAAATACTTATCCATTAATTCATTAACATGACATGTCAACATCATAACATACTTTTATGAAAATAACTATATTTTCTGAAACAAACAAAAAACCTCACAAGAAGGGTGTCATGGTTTCATGTTTTTGCAAACTTCTTTCATGTCTGGCTTAAGAAGACAGTTGGATTTGCATATTTCATTCTGCACTGATTCTCCTATCTATTGTGATATGACATGTCCCATAGCTTCTGGAAAACGCCACTGCTTACTTGTGAGAGGAAGAGAGAGTAGAAAAAGCAAATGGCACCTTAGAATTATTAAGAAGCTAGTTTTGCTCTTATAGACCCTGAGAAAGCCTGCGGGGGTACCTTCCAGGGGCTCCCTGGAACACGCTTTGAGAACTGCCGTGGTAGGGGCGGGGGGGGGGGGGG